TTTTATACACGTAACACACAATGATAGCAAGAAATATCACCCATCGCAACCATGCAATTCACTTGATATTTCCTCATTTTTTTTTGTATCGTCAATATTCGTTGCAAAATAATTGCTTTTCATGGAAATCTTTCTATCTGAAGAATGATTAATGAGAATAAATATCCCTCTCTTCTCTCTTTTTTTTTTGTTAAGCAAAAAATACGTTCTTTACACGGTTAATCTAATAAAAACTTTCCGCCGTTTTTGTAGGATTGCGTCTCAGGTTACTCTTTCAATATTATGACGGAAGCTCTATTATCGTGGAAAAATTAAAACGTAACGCACAATTGTGAACAATATATTTACAATGGCAGTCGAAAGTACACTGAACCAAAACTGTAACTGTACGTAAATACAATAAAATATTCATTGAATTATGAAAAAATAATGAAAATTGGTCCAATGAATTCTCATCATGATTTAGGTTATAAAACTATTACTAGAATTAATTTCAAAAATGAATATATAATTATATAAATGAATCCAGTTATCAATGAATTAATTACATTAAGTCGGACATTAATTAACGATCGTTCATTGGATCAAAAATGACTAAAATTTTTTTCAGTGTATGCTAAATGTTACTTCAAGAAATGTCGCCGAGAGAGACCCTTTGTAGTCTGCAATGAAGGACTCGAAGTTTAACGATTTCATTTAAAATTCCACGCTAATTTAATTTGACTGCCGTCCTCGACAATTTAATTAAGAATTTTTTAATATCGCAAAACAATCACTTCGCGTGATGCTTTCGGTGCGTCGAGTTGAAATGAAATTTGCACGATATTCGGTGAACCATAAACAAAGAAACGACCGAAATCCAACGCATTGCACACGATCCAACGAGCTTACCGAAACACGCTCGTATATTTCGGACGATAACGCACGCTATGGGATAGCTTGCGGACCTCGAAAAGCATCGGAGAGCGCGCGCTCGGTAATATCCCCGGAGAAACAACGCGCAGTGTGATAAAAAATAATTTACAGGCAAAGTGATGACTTTGCGAGCCATGCGTTCAATTATCGCGCGGCGTGTATACAGTGCGACAGTTCCATGCTGACGTTAGTTAGGGGCGACACGATTTATGACAAGCACGATGAGTGGCCTGTGTTGTGGTCCATTTACACACAACGATTACCAGCACCGACATATAATAGGTATATCGTTATTATTTTGACTCATTAGAGGAGAAAGAGGTCAGTGTTCATAATTATTTAACTGTTTCAAGTACAAACACTTTATCTCACCCAGAAGCCTATATATTTCACATCAACAGAATGCCTCGCTGTCTCAATTTACGAATGGAATAAATGAAAACTAAAAATCAAAATAATTTTAAAGCAATCAAACAATTCAATTAAACAATTATCAAAAGTAAATAACAATGCGAAAAATTCCGTATTAAAAACGTTATGATGTTTTTTATTAATTTACAAGTAGAAGAACTTAAAAAGATACGAAATAACAGATACCTATTTCGAAACAAAATTCTAACAATATTTACTTCAAAGAGAAATTTATAAAATTCATGAAAGCGAAATAGATTAAATATATTAAAAACTGAATAAATACCAGGTGATTTCCTTTACTTAGTTTATCTTACCTCTTTCGTATCTATATTTGCTTTATTAAAAAAGAATCCTTATCAATAAGAAAACAAGATAATATTGCTTATAAATATTTATTGCAAGAAGTAGCTTAAGTGTACTATCAGATAAGTATGAAGAGTATCAAGATAAACACGACAAACGTGCTACTAACATGACAAGTCAATGGAAGCACTACACCGTCAACTTTTATTCTAATAATCAACTTCTTGTTTTGATAATAATGTTATCTGTTAATTAGACAAGCGTGATGCATCGAGTAAATCACATACACGTCACGCCTGTAACGAGAATAAATCAGAATTTCATTTATGCATATTTTCAGATATTCTTAATATTCTACCCGGTGGCAATTAATTTTACTCAATTTTTCCCCGATATTCGCATGGGGAATAATTAGATATGGGAAATCTGTAGAGACAAACGCGAGGTGGAAGTAATAAATCGACGAGTTAAGCGAGACATTACGTGAAAATTGTTGCAATTTACGTGAATTTTTTATCAATGTGTTTATTGAAATTTTGTATAAAAAATTCAAAAAATACCTTAAAAATTCCCGAATTTTTCAGGTATTTTTGTACAAAATTCCAGGTATATATAAGATTATTAGAGAATTTCTTAATGCAATTTAGAAATAAATAAAGGAGTGAAATTGGAGGGTAAGCAACGCAAATAAAGTACATATTAAAAATTAGTAAAAGAAAGGGATTTTACAATAAATACAGTTCGATGATACACACCTATAACTGTATCTACCATATTCTACAATGGAGCCGCGAAATCTATAGAATAATCTATCTATAGAGTAATCTATCTATAGTATAAGCAAGGCGCACTAAAATATCAGTGAGCTATTTTATTCTGTTGACAAGGGAGTGCTACATTGTAAAAGTGATATCAAAAAAACTAATATTACTAGTTAAAAGATCACGTTTGAAATAAATATTTTAGATGATCAAATCTTGGGATTCTATGAATTCTGCATCTGACTTGGGGACTTGGGAAATTTTGTTTCAAAAATGTATTGTTCTCGAGACATTTTGTACCCAAGTTATAATGGCCAAATATGTTCCAGTCCAAGTCGGATACAGAATACATAGGATTCCAAGATTTGATCATTTAGAATACTTATTTCAAACGTGATCATTTTGGTAACGTTAATTTTTTTGCGATGTAGTACATTTCTTTGTGATTCTTCTATTGTCATCTCGATTTTTTTAAATAAATAAAAGTTACACCAAGATGTACGTGAATATACGCGGATGTGTATGTCATACTGCTAACTGATTGTCAACATTTTGCATTATGATGAAAAAATAATCAAAGAAATGTTTTCAAAAAAATTTGAATAGAATTTAAATTAAAAAATAAAATTCCAAAAATTTCCCTGAATTCTGATAAAATTCCATGAAATATCTGATTTTCAATGATAAAAAGAAATCTCCTGAAAATTCCAAGTTTTCTAGGTAGTAAACATCCTCTGTACGCAATAAGACGATTTGAAACGTAAGCACGGTTATCATAAGCCGCTATTCATAATCTGTTCTTATTTCAAGACTATTTTAAATAATATACGTCTTAAGATGCTAACGGCCCTCTAATTGATTCGTGACATCTTATGGCTGTACTTAAATATGAGAAGACAGTTTTAAATATGAGAATCGATTATAAATATCAGCCGTAGATACTTAATAGATTTATCAATGCGATAAGTACAATAATCAATCGCTACAATATTTCTGACTGAGAGATATTTAAATCACTGATAACGATGCGACACGACAAATGTGATATATTAAACGTGATATTATTCCGAGAATATCCGCCCTCTCTAGCGAACAAATACGGAGTAGACTCGTGCAAATTCCATATAGACTGTATGTCCACCTAGACTCTCTCTCTCTCTCTCTCTCTCTCTCTCTCTCTCTCTCTTTTTTTTCTCTCTCTCTCTCTCTCTCTCTCTCTCTCTCTCTCTCTCTCTCTCTCTCTCTCTCTCTCTCTTTCCTTTTGCCTCTCTCTTTTTCTCTAGCTCTCCCGCCGTGATCGTATATGAAAGCCATATGAAATGAACCGTAATATAAAGGTGTATAATTCGCGCGTCATGTCGCCGCGGCTTCGCAATTGCAGGCCGACGGGCTTTCAGATATATCAAGTGGATTTCGCGTCCTCCTCTCACAATTCTACGAAATTGCTAATGCGGCACCGTGTAGCGACGCGGACATCTGGCACGTTAAGTAACACGCGGCTGTGCCGCAATGAGCACATATTCCTCTGCAAACAAATCTCTCAAGAGTACCCTATTTTTGGTACGCGTTAACGGATACACGATGAGACGGTCGAGGGTCATTTTTGATTGATGAATATGAGAGATTAAACTAAGAGAAGTGTGTGATCGAATATATTGAAAGCATACTTTTGAATTAAAAAGTATGCAAAAATTAAGGAATTTTTGTGAACGAGATTTTGAGAAAGCAAATATATATATATATACATTTTAATAGTAAATATGTATGGATGTATTAAATAATCATAAAATATAATGTTAAGAAAATTATTTAAAAAAATAAGATGGCTTTTTAAAAATAATTTTAATGATTTTTTAATAATAATCGCTTCGAGTAATTTGTTCACGGAATCAAAGAATTTTACGAATATCTGTGAACAGTGCAATTAACTTAAATTAGAAAACAATATTTAAATCAATTAATTAATTGATGACCCATTTAAGTAATACGTATTCGCTAATTATAGTTTTCAGTTTCTCGTCCCACTCCTAGGGATTTTCCAACCATCGATGGAATATTAATACTGTCTATTTAAGCCAGTTTGCGTTGACCGTATATTAACTAATCCTAGATTATCAATTTGCTCTCCTTTTCTGCATTGCAGCTTTGTGCGCAACACGGCAAAACCAGATTCAATTAGGATTAACGGCGATTACTGCTAAAGCAGCAGATAGTTTGTACAGAAACATTGTTACATACAGAAATATTATACAAAATATATATGCATATATATATATATACTATTTAAATAATATAGAGGAAAAAATATATATGTATATATATGAAATAAAATTTAATTTATAGTAATCGATTAAAAAAAATCAGATATTAAATTAAATATTACAATAAAATATGTTCCGAAACCATTCGTGCAAAAGGTAAATTTTGATTCCTAATATTTTTAATTAAAAAATACGAATATTCGACAATTTTATCGAAAGGGTTAAAGGTCGAACGCTACGAACGTGCTGACTGCTATGTAATCATTACAAATCTGCGGGCTGCATTCCAAAGCGGCAGTTCTCCTTCAATCCTCGTTCTTGCACGAGGCCTTACGTAATCCCCTACCTTTCTCTCTTTCTCGCCTGTCTATCTCCTTCTCTCTTTAGCGACGCCCAAGCTTGTGAGTCTTCGGAGTTCGCCCACGTGTCAGATAGCTCATCTCTTTCTTCTCTATTCCGATTTCTATCTCACTCGATTTCCTCTTTCTCTTTCTCCCTCGCAGTTTGGCGTAAGCGGCAGCCTTGGCCTTCGAGGCTTCAAACGAGATCCATCGAAGCCCTCCTTTAGGTGGACTCGTCCTCTTCTTTTCCTTTCTCTATTGATCCTAGAATACCACACATACATCTTGCCATCACATAAGAGAGCTTTCATACAATGGGGTCTCGTGCACCCCACGTTGTTTTAATGCATCTAATAAAATTACTCTAATAAAATAACACTTCCTTTATTATTTATTTTCATTACTTTATTTTCGTGGTTAGCCTTTCATTCCTATCTTTACACTGAGGAAAATACGTTGTTAAATCGACTAAATTAGTTTTGTTCGTCTTTATTTCTTTCGCACGAGAATGTATATATTTACATCAAATATAATATATGAATAATATATTTTACTTAAATATAGGTATACCTTTTCTAAAAAAGATGAACTAAGCGAATTTAGTTAATAATTTTTTTCTCAATGTAAAGTATAATATACTTGACTCAAATCATAATATCCTTCTACGAAAGAAATAAAGACAAACTAAACTAATTTATAATATTTATTAATAAATCAAGTTAACAATTTTTTTTCTCAGTGTATCACAATAATTATTATTCGATGGAATAAATGTCACATTAAATACAGAATACAAAAATAAAATTGGCAAAAGCCACCATCGTCGTGCTATTAAAATTACGCGTATTAAATTTTAATAGCACGACAATGGCGGCTTCTGCCAATTTTATTTTTGCTGTCTGCATTTATAGCGACATTTAACGTATTCAGTCGAATAATTATTGTTAATTTGCTCAAACTTATGTATATATGTAAAATTCACTTATATCCGTATTCATCTCCGTATATCCGTAATTAATATAAGAATATACAAGCTTTTATACATATAATTACATCAATTCGAATAAAACGAGAAAGAAACTGGTTTTTAAACTCTCGTTCAACAGTATTTCAAAAACTCGTTCGGACTCGATCGATGTTATACGAGTCTCAAGAACGTGTGGAGTCGTAGAATTTAGAACAGTGACCTAAGAACTCCAAAGTATCTGTGACCAAAATGAACAAAAGCTAAAAGAGTGGCGCCAATGCAGTAACTGACCTTCTCAACACAACCGGTTTTACATTCACAGATTCCCCTACGCCCCTCCGTCGTATCTCGTAACCGGAACCTCTTGTCTTACTCGATATTTATTAAATGTAAAGCAACGGCAACAATTCAGTGTTCCTTCTTACGAACGATACGATCCGTTCGCAGGTTATTCATGTCCCTTAAGAAATTATAAATGTCTGATCGTTTGTGTTTGTAAGCGGAGAACACGAGAGATGTTGTTGCGCATTTAACGATCGCGAATCGTCGGTGTAAGACCGTTGCCGTGTAATTACCCATTTGCGAATTCGATCACTTGCATTAGTTCTGAAATACAATAGACGTAGAGTCGGTATCACAGACTACGCAGTGAAGACTGAGATTGAAGATTGAAAAATTAAAATTTAACCAATCAAAATAAAAGGAGCTAAAATTTCTTTTTTCTCACTGGTTAAATTTCAATCTTCAATCTTCAATCTCAATCTTCAATGCGTAGTCTGATTCTGGCCCAGTAAGCCTTAAGACTTAAGAAATTGATCAATCACAGTCGAATGTGAGACGAATAATTGATAGGTCAATTTCTCAAGGTTTAAGGCTTATTATACCTGTTGTGTTTCGGGACTTACACTGGATTAGTAAAAGCTACTATACTTGAAATTAGTCAAATATAAAAGCTTACAAATATTTTAAACAATTAAATACCCAATAACGCGGAGTGTGTAAAAAAAACATGTTTTAAACGTGTTTTAAACAGTTTAAAACATGCTAAATTGATGTTTTTAATATGTTTAAAATATGCTTTTTTATAGTACTGTTTAAAGCATATTTGAAGCATTAAAAACATATTTAAAAAGAAATACAGTATGTTTTATTCTTAAAAAAAAAAAAAAAAAAAACATTAGTGTCTTTATTAACCCTGCAATAACGACATTGTCACATTAGTTAACAGAATATACATGTATTATTTCATTGTCAAGTTAATTATATTATGCCACTGCATTTACTTTATATAAATCAGGCTTTAATGTTCGCTCATCTAATGAAATGCCAGTGATCGAATTCATCATACATTATTCAAAGATTCTATTGTAAATGAATTCATATTAAAATTTTTGTGGTATAATGAGATTATATATATGTAAAATGAGGGGGCGGGGGGGGTGATAGAAACATGTATTCACAATAACGGAAACAATTTGTTCTGTTTTTTTATAAAAACCTGAAAGTAACGTATTCAGTTTTAAACATTTTGTTACTCCACTGCGTCCCAAATTCATACATAGTATGAGATTATGCGGAATAAGGATGATAGCGACAGATATATACTACACATAATACTCCGTATACATCACAGCTCCAAATTAGAGTATCAGTAAACATCTGGCTTACCCTTCTCTCCTTCCCGGCAATCAATGTCAAGGTGGCGTTTCTCGCTACTCGGCGGAGTCACTTCACTCTTTTTTTTCTCCTTCCAGCGTCGCATTCGCGTCAATTTGCAAATCGCGTCATGTACGCGCGACGCGGGAGTATCCGAGATCCGTCTTGGCTACCAAACGGGGCGTGAGTCGCTTGGTGAGAAAAAATGAGAAAAATCCGAGCTGCGAGGCGCGACAAAACTCGGGGAAACGCGTGAGAATCACCGAGGAGGAGAGAACAGCCGGCGGAGTGCGTGAACCGCGCGAAACGCTCCTCTCCACGCGAAACAACGAAACGAACTGACGCGCTCGAGCAGCGCGGCTCGTCTAGCTGGTCCGTCTAGGAGCCGACGAAGGAACGCGATCGTGATTGGTCGCCGGAGCGCCGACCGCGAGTCGCCGCGCGCCGATTGGTTCGCGCGCGGCCGCGAACTTCGATATACATATAAATCGAACCGTTGTGACCGCGAATGTGGAGATGACAACAAGATTGCGCCGCGAGACGTCGGACTGATTTACGAAGAGCTTATTTATGCAGGTCGAGTCAATTCAGCGCGCTCCGGATTACCCGTACGTAAAAGCGGCGGTTTTTATGGCTGCGATCGACGATTTAGGATATGGTTACCTGGAAAGTGCAGATGGGGGTCGCAGTAATTCCCCGAGTACGTTAAGAGTCTAACCGAGATTCATAAAACATAGTTTTGCGAAATTCTATTTTGGTTAGCGATCAATTTACATCGATTGCTTTTCTGCGCTGAATAAATAGGCGTGGAGTTAAAGGGGGAGGAGGATTTTTACCCAGAAGGGTAAAAAAAATACCTATTTTTACAAATTTTTTCGCGAAAACTATTAACTTTATTCAAACAAAATTGATCAATATTTTATACACCATGTTAATATTAATATCAACAGAGTGAGAATTATATAGGCCGGTATTCATAATCTGTTCTTATTTCAAGCTCGTCTTAAGTAATGTCTTAAGATGCTAATACGGCCCTCTGATTGGTTCGTGACATCTTAAGATTGTTACCTAAGACGGTATCAAAGCCACACCCATATTTTTTAGAGTGAACAAAAAATACAAACAAAATGTATTCTAATCATGTTAGTCAAAATTCTTATCGTAATTGATTTTTTATTATTTCGAATGTTTAATAAACTAGAATGTTTAATAAATTTAACTGTACGTACCTAATTTGTAGCTTTTTGAATCTACTAATATTTCCAATTTATACAATCAATTTTTTTCTGTAATTGAAGATAAAAAAGAACACGTGTTTCTTGTTAGAAAAATTTACACGTTTTTGCTTCCAAAGTTAAAGTTCAAATGAACTGATTATTTTTTTTTTTTTTTTTTTTTTTTTTTTTTTTTTTTTTTTTGAGAAAGGATGTTTCGAATAAAGATGTGTGTCAGTAGGTACGAATAATGATACGAAGAAGTATTTTCAATAATTCAGGATCTTTTATTATTCTCCCGAAGGTACAAAGAGGTAGCGACAAAAAGGGTTCGTTGCACATTAAATTAGAGCGGGCGGCATTGTTGCACATCCGCGACTTTGAATACGACGTGGCAGCCTTAGCAAATGCAAAACGCGACAGTGCACGAAATCCTCGGTCTGCTGCGTTTGACTACGTTTCCTGCGTGAAATTAAAATATGAAAGGATACGTATGAAAAATATACGACCTTCGTCGTCAAAGGCAAACCGATAAAAATCAATCTCGTCGAATGTTTATCGTTACGGTATTGTACGAAAATGTATTTCGTGATTTCTACGTCTTTACTACGTCAATCGTAGCACGATAATATCTCTCATCATTCGCCAAACAGCTTGCTTAAATATTTACTTCGCTATTGGAAAGTCCCTAACAAACCGTCCGTGCTATTAATTTCAGAGTTCACTAAAAGTCATGTATTTTCTTTTATACTCTCTAAATCTGAATCAGTAGATAGTCACTCATTACCCAGTAGCATACTTGGCACTGATAATCAGTGAAGTTCAATTAAAAAAGAAAGAATATTCGAGCATTATATAACTAAAATACTGATATTTGCATGTTAATTTCAATCTTCCAATTCCATATTTATTGAATTTATGCACTAAAACAAGATTGGTTAGATCACATAATAAAGATCAGCTAGGTTAGGGATTTCACATTTCATTTACTGATTACCAGTGGCATACTTGGCACTGATATCAGTGATTATCCACTGATTCAGATTTAGAGAGTATATATTTCCATTGTCTTATGCGGGGTCTACAATAGAAGTCGTAGCGGTCGTAGGGTCTTAAGTCGTAGAAAATTAACCAATCACAGTCGAATATGAAAAGAATAATCGACTGTGATTGGTCAATTTTCTACGATTTAAGACCCTATGACCGTTACGATTTCTATTGTAGACCCCGCATTAATGTTTCTTAAAAATTTCATTAAACATTGTAACATCTTTTGTTTCACGGGAGCATATAGGACATGTGTTTGAAAATTTTCAGCAAATATGAATGTATGTAGCAGAGTTATTGCTCTACTACGAGCTTTTGAATTTGCTTCGCGATATTGCGCGAACGTGTCTTTCCTCACTCGGAAAACAATGCGTACGTGC